AGTGGACGATTCGTTATTCACTTAAGGCAGGTTAATGTAGAATTTTGGCTTAAGTTAATTTGTCCTGATAATTCACTGACTGATGCCCGTTTACGACGTTGCAGTGTCATTCGTACACTGTAGAAGTTAAGCTATAGTTGATCAAGTGTAATACATTATGTGCGTGTTATAGTAGTTATGTTAGTACATTATATGTATTGTGCTTTTTCATATCTACATTCTTTCCTGCTTCTAACATAGGAGTACCCTACAAGTTAGGCAGACCATTGTGTTGCTGCCCATCGACTACGCATAGCTGGTAATTAGTGTAATGCATACAGTTGCGTTTATCCGGTTCAGTGTCTTAGTTCATGTAGTATTGAGAAATAAGCGTAAACTGCAGTTTGCATAACGCGAAAGATGCTGTAGTCAGCCTGGTGACTGACCAATACCGGCGTTTCGGCCTGTGTTTCATGCATTTTCTTCAGAGTAGGTTGATGGTGAAGTTTCGTGAATGTGGTTGGTCGTCCGCAGCAGCTGGTAGTTTCGGAGTAGTCGATAACTTATTTAGTAGTTGTATTCATATCGAATTTGTTATATGCTTATTAGCCATTGTTTCGGATCATGTTCAATCCGTCTGAGGAGCGAGACATCTACAACGGAATCTCAAGTTATAAACAAATTCTGTTTTATAATATCTCTCATATGTGAGGACTGATCGATCTTGATCTGAAACTTTGGAAAATATGTATAGCATAACATCGATATACTTTTTCATCCCGTAAAAGAATTTTCTAGTTTTTAAAAGTATCGCCTATTCTTTATTTTTCATGAGTAATATGGCTGTTGTGAAACACACAACTCCCGTCGGGTGATTAACGATACTCGTTCAAAACAGACAAAAAGCGTCTAAGCCTAAAAAATACCACCTGCAGACTTCCTTAACACTTTTATTTTGAAAAAAAGCTCGTGTTATGCTGGGAAAGGTTGATATCGGTCAGTCATCGTATATGTTGTTCTGTTACTTTGTTTTGTACTTTCCGTTGGTTAGACAGGTTTTATTTAGTTTGCTGTCTTTTCGCAGAGCTCTCTGGCTGGTGGTGAAGTGACAGACTAGGGTCCAAGAGCAATCGTGTTTACAAATAGCTTAAAGTTCCCATAAAAGGAGTACGGGAGTGACGAAGATCAGCAGATTCAGATCACGACCGATTATGGTCCACGGTTGGCAGAGGTCATAAATTGTTTGAGAATGTGGTGAGAATTAAAAATGACAAATATGCACAAACAGCTCTCGTCACAAAGTCACGTGATAGATGGTCAAGTAGTAGACCGAGAGTCAAATGGGTGAAGTATATCGGGTGCTTGCTATTCTGATACCTTAGTTTAGTGTTAAGTGTAACTCCGTTAATTGTAACTGGGTAGTCTAAAGCTATAGCGTTCAGAAAAGCCTTCTGTTAGTATTAGTGTTGCAGCCTGAAGAAACAGTGTCCATCGTAATGAACATACATATCAATGGCATTTCATATTATGCGTTGTTTTCAAATTAGAGACACGACAGAGATGTGTATCGCTAAACACGATTGCGTTTCTAGGTTTTCACCAAGTTATACATGCTAATCTAATTCGGTTTATACGGTTTACAAGTTAATGCATATACAAATTTCGATGCTTGCTTGATTAGGAATAATGTGTTAATAATGATTTGTAAATATGTAAAAAAAGTTTGTTTTTTCATTTTTTACCGTTTGTTATATCTAACATTATGGAACTTTGAGTGTGATTAAATTCTGTAACCTGATTACACAAATATCAGATTCCTATTTATTATATTTCTATACACTGATTAGGATTTATTGAAAACTTTATTACATAAAGTGCATCTGTCGTCGCGCGCTTTTATCATGAAAAAGGAAAGTTTATAACCGTGAGAACGGTTATTACGCTTTAATGATAAAGGGCTATTTGTGCAGCCTTTATTTTCGTTAAACAGGTGGCATGCTGCT